CATCCAGGAGCAAGAGGACCGAGACTACGCAATGGCATTGGCACTCCAGGAAGAGGAAGAAGGGAACCACAACCGGCCCGATCTGCCCCAGCGTCCATCACAGGGCTCATCTGGCTGGGGAAGCAGCGGGCCACTACCACCGCAACAGCCGTCTCATCCAATGTCCCCTGAAGACGAAGACCGCGCGCTCGCCATGCGCTTGCAGCATGAGGAAGAGCACGGCGGCCCGGCCCCGCCCCTTCCCGCGCGGCCGCACCCAGACGCCGTAGCAGCCATGCTCAAGCAACAGCAAGAGCCCGCACCGTTCACCAGGACACCATCCACAGAGGGCTTCATCGCGCCGCCGCGGCGCCAGGGCTCCGACTTTGGCGCCGACGACCCCAACAACCCGGTGCACTACTCGCGCGACCCGCACAAGCTGATCGCGTACCTGGTGCCGTTCCCGAAGCCGTGGATGGGTGCGCGGGGGCCCGCGCCGCCGGACAAGGGCGGCATGCCGACGCGGTTCTTGGTGTACACGCCGCCGCCGCCGCCGCTGCAGGCGCCGCCCGAGGGCGTCAAGGAGGGCGTCACGCACAAGGTGCAGCGCAAGTGGCAGGCGGAGGTGCGACAGGCGAAGCAGAGCGATGCCAAGACGACGAGCTGGGCGGGATTCAAGGCCAAGTGCACACGGGGCGTGGATAAGGCGATGCAGTATACCACGACGAGTAACCTTGATTTCCTCGCGCGCGTGACGCCTCCGCCGGCGCCGGCTTCGTCGTCATCGACGTCGAATCTTGCGCGCAAACTCTCGTTGAAGGGCAAGGGGCGGAGGAACAAGTCGAAGGATGGGAAGGATGGGGACGTCAAGGGGAAGGACAGCGTGGATGTTGATGAGAAGGCTGAGGAGAGTGGCAAGCCCGCTGACGAAACGACGAAGGCTGCTGACGAGAAGGCGAAGGAGGCTGGCGTGTATGACAAGGCCAGGGAGGCCGGGTCTGAGGAGAAGGCAAGGGAGGAGAATCCCTTCGAGGAGAAGTTTAGCGAAGAGAAGGCGCGCGATGAGAAGAGCGGCGGCAAGTTCTCGGAAGACATCAAGGAGGAGGACGTCCAGGACGACGACCCGGCGCACGGCTCCCACGAGACCAAGAAGACGGTCGGCGTGGAGGAGATCGTCTTCGTCTACCCGCCGTCGATGAACATGACGCCAGAGCAGATGCGGGAGGAGTTTGTCAACACGATGCTGCGGACAAAGTCCAAGGCGCAGCGAGACGCCATCATCGCGACGGGCCTGCTCCCCGTCTCGTTGGCGATCGACCTCGTCATGATTGCCATCAGCGGGCTCTTCGAGGTCAATGGTCAGTATATCTTGGTTACTAATGGTAATCTGTCCGTCAATGCTAACATGAGCGACAGCTGTGTGGGCGTACTTCACCATCAAGGGCACCAAGACCGCCCGCTCCGTGACGAAGCGCATCGCGTCGACATCCCAGGATCCCGAGACCATCGACCCCGAGAAGTCTGAAAAGGAGCTGGAGAAGGAGAATAAGCTCAAGATCACGTTCAAGCCCGCGCATCGCATCGACGTTCTCTCCAGCTACCTGTACGCCGAGTGCCACCGCGTGGACTCGCGGCTGTTCCCGCGGTACAGCCACGCACCGACTGAAGTGTGAGTTTCATTCCCCGGTAATATGTCTCTAATGTGTAAACACCTGCTGACATCGGTAAAATAGTGAGTGCTTGGAGGCCATCGGCTGGTCGCCGTCGCGGACCGGCGGGCAGAAGAACTGGGAGGACGAGGCGTGGGAGGTCAACGACGTCAAGGACGACTTGAAGGTGGTGATGCACAAGGGCGCAAAGGAGTGGAGGAAGTGGTGCAACAGGTACGAGAAGGACCCGGAGAAGAGCTTGAAGAAGTAGTAGACGCTTTTTTCTTTCTTTCTTTGGTGAATATATTTCAAATGCACATTTCAGAACCGATGCCCAACGAGTGTATCTTTCAAGCTTTACGGATGCCACCGAAACCGCCTTCCAATAGTCACTGCTGTTGCAAGATTTGGCGTGACTACTGTCCATACCCCTGAAATTGTCAATCCGAAAGGCGCGCCATGATCTAGAAGATTCCGTCAGACCAGGCCGCTCGGCCCCATCTTTCACTCCAGGCAACCACGGTGACTGTCAGCCCGCATCGCCTCTCGACTTAAGATCAAGACAAGAGAGGAATAATTCAACAAGAAAGCAACGGCTGGGTAGCTCAGGTGGTAGAGCGGCGCGTATTCCATATCTTCCAGGCGCAGGTCGCGTGTTCGACTCATGCCCCAGTCGTGATCTCTCTTTTTATGTCGTTTTGGAGTGTTTGCTAGGGTATGTTGCGATGGCCAGGACCTATGAACTTCACTGCGAATGATGGACAACTTCAGCGCCAGAGAAAAGAGATGGATTTTGGGCCGAGAAGCTGAGAAGCTGCTATTCTTCATTCTGTTTAGCTTAGCTGAAAGCTCTCAACTACAAGTATCGGTTAAATAGCTGGAGCTATTCTTACTTATACTGGCTCGTAGTTTCTATTTCTATGTTGTCTCTAGTGTCCGTGCCTTCTAGATTATCTTCATCGTCCCCGTCACCCTCGTCGTCCCCCATTCTTGCTAAGAATGGCATCCGTCAGTCATCTAATACACTGCCGTCACTGGCCCCCTTGACCCATTGCTAGTGTTCTCACCTACACGCCTCTCACAGCTTGGCTGACGACGTCATCACATGATTTATTGACATGTGGGAAATCAGACTACCAAAGGTGCCAGGCATCATACGGAGCACCATCCGATTCGGTCCGGCTCCGAGCCATGGTGCTCCCGCCCCCGGAGACGGGTTGCTCGGCAAGCCAGTGGACTGGTTGACTGGGAATTGTCCCGCTGCCCGCTTTCATTTCCTTTTGTTTGTCTTCTCCACCGCCTCCGCACTTTGCCATGCGGGGTAGCCCGGCTCCCGAGCTCTCCACTCGTTCAAGCGGTCCAATGCCGTCACCGTTTTTCTCCAACAAACCTTCCCCGCGACAAGGGCCTCCCTGCTCTCCCGGCCCCAAAACCTTGATCGCCCACAGCTCCGGCAAAAACCAACCCCATCCACCGGCGTGGTACGCAGCCAGACCAACCCTCATGACCAGACAGGTTCGAGAGAGTATGACGATGCTAATTCACGCTGGAAGGGGCAGGAAACAGCATATGCGGGGATTGCGGAGCCGACCCAGCCAACTAGACTGACCGACCAACCCTTTGCTCTCCACGGATACGGACACCTCGCCGGCCAATCCACCGAGGACAGGAAATGGCAGCGGCTCATGAAGGTGCCGCCGCGGGCGGTGGCCTTAAAAAGGACGCCGGCGTCCTTTTCGCCTTCCCTCGACGCAACGTTCGTCGTTCCATTGCAGCTTCTACACGTGGTCGTTGGCGCAACTTTGTTTCCATAATGAAGGTGACGGCCCTCGCGATCGCCGCCGCGACCCTCGTGTCGTCGGCGTGCGGCCAGTACATGAAGACCCCCGTCATGGGGCGGTACACTGCCCAGAGGCAGTCCGTCAGACAGGCGACCAACGACTCCAGCAACGCCTGGCCGTATGGCCCCTTCAGCACCCAAGGCCGCGACATCGTCAACAGTCGCGGCGAGGTCATCACATGGGCTGGCGTCAATTGGCCCATGAGCGGCGAGACCATGGTCCCCGAGGGCCTGGAATGGTCCTCTGTCGACAAGATTCTGGACAGTGTCGCCAGCATTGGCTTCAACTACATCCGAATGTAAGCCCTCCCCCTACATGTTTCCTTCACGGTAGTCACTCAACTAACTCACCCTTCATCAGGGGCTACGCCATTGAGATGGTGGACCAAATCTACGACCGCGAAGGCGAAGACGTCCCGCTCGAGGTCGCCATGATCAACGCTCTCGGCTACGTCAACGGCACCAAGGTCACCAACGAGATCATCAAGCAGAACCCGACCTGGACGCGCGAGACCACCCGCTTCGAGATCTGGTCCGACATCGCCAAGGCCGCCCTCGACCGCGGTATCTTCATCTCCCCGGACGTCCACGTCAGCAAGGCCATGTGGTGCTGCTCCCACACCGACGGCAACGGCTGGTTCGACGACGTCTACTTCAACACCACCCACTGGCGCCGCGGCCTCTCCTACGTCGCCAACTGGGCCCGCGACCACCCCAACATCGTCTCCATGTCCCTGCGCAACGAGGTCCGCGAGTCCTGGAACAAGACCGACCTGTACTACAACTGGGACACCCTCGTCGGCAACTTCTCCGCCGGCGCCGACGCCATCCACGAGGCCAACCCGGACGTGCTCATCCTCTGGGGCGGCATGCAGTACGGCCAGGACCTCTCCGCGCTCACGAGCGGCAAGAACTACCTCACCGCGCCGTGCTACAAGTGCACCGCCATCCGCGACGCCGCCCGCCGCGAGCCCAAGGTCTTCGACGTCGACGCGCACGCCTGGGCCGACAAGCTCGTCTGGGAGCTGCACCTGTACAAGATGAGCGAAGACGTCGACACGGGCACCTGTCCCATCATCGAGGCCGGGTTTTACCGCTCCGGGTTCAACGCGCTTGGTATCGACAAGCCGGCCGCGTGTAATATTACCGGCGACTGCCCAAAGGCGAGCCGTCTGACGCCCGTCATCCTGTCCGAGTTTGGCAACGCGCAGGACGACACGATGCGCAACGACACTCTGCAGGTCTGCCTGCGCGAGTTCACCGTCAAGAACAAGATCAGCTGGATGATGTGGGGGCTGGCGGGCAGCTACCGTATTCGTTCAGGCGCGCAGGGTGTCTTTGACGGCTGGGCGCTGGGCAACTACGAGTGGAACGGATGGAATGACCCGGGCACCATTGAGGATGTCTGGAAGCCGTGGGTGAAGAGCATGAATGTCACGACGAAGGCTTAAGCAGAGAGCACTGTGGTATTTGATCTAATTATAGTTAATCGAGATAATTCGTATTTCACATCCTCCGTTGCATCCTATGGTTCAACTCAGACCCGGCAAAGCCGTCCTTCACCCACCACTTCCCATCCCTCGTTACCAACGCACGGCTCGCACCAGAGCACGTCTTCCGGGTCGACGGTCTTCTTGATACTGAGAAGTCGCTCGTAGTTGGCTCCCCAGTAGGCCTGCTGCCAGTCCTTTTCATACACAGAGCCCTGTGACCCAATAAGCAACCCATCCTCCAGCTCGAATGCGGATCACTCACCTCGTTGATATAAGACCCCATATTGGGAGCCAACTCCCGCAACCCCTCCGCCGCCGCATCAACAAGCTCAATCGCCTCCCGTTTAGCCGTGGCATTCATCGCAGGGAACTGGGTCGTCGCCACTGTGCACACATTATTAGTCTTCACCACATCTCACCCGGTGCATACTCAAATACTCACTCGCGTGGACATACGCCCTCCTCCAAGCCGGATGCACCGCATTCCCACCCCCTCGCGGCATCGCCTCGTGCACACCCCTCCCCGAGACCAAAAACGCCGTCACGCGTCCCACCCTCTCCGTGGCCGTCCCAACCGCCGCCGCCAGCGCGTCCACATCCTCAGTCAGAGCCGCCTCGTCGAGCAGTCGCGATGCAAAGATGAGGTGGTACCCCACGGGCCGCGCGTCGCGGTACTTGTCGAACCAGTCGAACCACGACGCGAACTGTTCCGTCTGCAGCACGAACACGGCCTCGGGCCAGCGCGCGGCGATGGTTGCGTTGATGGGCTGCCAGAGCTCCTGCATCGCTTCTGAGTCCGGCTGGTCTTGCAGCAGGGCGACGCCCATCATGCCTGCGATCTGCGCCGGCAGGCTTTGTACCGGGAAGGGGTTGCCCATGAGCACGCGCGAGGAGGTGCAGTACATGGACATGCCGGCGCGTTCGAGCGCGGGCATCTGGGAGAGGACGTACGCCGTGAGCGCGGGTAGGTAGGGAGCGTCGGGCTCGGTTCTGACGGCCCAGAAGGTATGAGTGATTACAGGCGAGGGGTGCGTTGAGAAGGTGATGGATGTGATGACGCCGAACGTGCCGGGGCCGCCCTACTCTCGTGTTATCATCAACAAGTTCATATCGATTTCAGATTCTGTGCGCTCTTACACCGCGCATAGCCCAGAACAGATCCATATTCTGCGCCTCGTTGATCGTCATGATCTCGCCCTTGGGCGAGATGATCTCCATCTGCAGAACATTGTCCGCCGCCATGCCGTACCGCGGTCCCAGTAGCGAGTGGCCGCCTCCGGGGGTGAACCCGCCGACTCCCACCGTCCCGCACCCGCCGCCGACGATGGCCTGCCCATGCTCGGCCAGGGCCTTCTGCGCGTTGTACAGCTCGGTGCCGCCCCCGACGGTGACGGCGTTCCCCTCGATGGCGATATCGCTTCCGGCAAGTTGGAACCCAGCGCCGTGGTACTGCACATCTTGCATGTGGTGCACCCAGATCGAAAGAGAGCCCGGAGCAAAAGAGCGGCCTAGGTAATCGTGCCCCGTACTTTTGATGATCAACCTCACATTATTCTCCCGCGCTACACTCGTTAAACAACCGGTCCATCATGACGAGAAGACGGGTACAAACGCACCAAAGTCAACACCAAACTTGACGTGCTCCGGCGTGGTCGCGTTCACGACGAACGCAGAGTATCCGTCAGCGCGACACAGATAAGCCGCGTCAGGGAGGCAGGTGTCATTGCTCCAGTTGTCCCACATGACGGAGACGGGGTCGGCCTTGTGGAAGTCGAAGCGGCTCCATCCGGCCTGCGCGGCGGCGCACCGGTCGGCGTCGTAGGTCGGTTCTCCGGGATGGCAGACAGCTCCAGGAGCAGCCGGCTGCAGCAGTCGGCCTCCAAGAGACTCATTGAGCGCGGCCCAGGATTCTGTGGACGGCCAGTCAGCGCTGCTTGGGAAGGACTTGCATGGTGTCGTGGTGTCTGCCGAACTCCATGGCAGGGATGCTAGGGCTAGAGTGAGGGGTGGAAGGAAAGTGGAGGATAGCATTGTGGGAAAGGAATTATGGAGGCTTACCGGGCTTGAGAAGGTGAATATCGAGACGAAGGAGTCTCCCCTTTTTAAGCCGGGAGCTTTGAGGTTCCAAGACGAGGTGGGTAGGACAGACGGCCTCGCCTTTGTTCAGCTGCCAGCTGCGGCGCGGTTGAGATGCAGCAGCGAGATGAAGCAAGGCACCAAATTTCTCGGAAAGGAAATCGCCAGCAGGAGAAATGCTACGTTGTGTTGGTTACGCTGCAGCGTGTTGGTGATTCCCTGCCCGGGCGTCCTGGACCCCAGTTCAAGTCCGAGGAGTGGATCACGTTCGGTGTTGAGGTGTAAGGCGCAGTCTTGTCGCGTTGCACAAAGAAATGTTGGATGTGTTCTTGTGAGAGATTTTGTGTCGCGGGACAAGAAAGATAAGGCTCTCCGCCTTCAGCCGCTGACGGAGCGGTGTTACCCATCAGGTACATATAGTGGTGTCACTTGGGAGCGCATTGGATGGGCCAACGGGGAGAGGCCCGGCCAACTGCATATGGACGTCAAGGGATGATGTGCCCAATCACAACTACCTCTTCGTTCTCGGCATGGTCTAAGACAGAATACCTAACATGACCGTTAAGTGACACTTGCCTGTCAATCAAACAGCCTTGCCGTCCGGTCCTCAGCCGCCAACCTCTCCAAGTGATCCTCACGAAAGTGTGCGTACCACCCAAGAAACTTGGGAATGCTCTCAAAGACATACATCCCTCTCTCCCACAAATTCATAACGTACCGCCATTTCCATCCATCCTCGCCCGGCTTACGGCAGTACACCACGCAACACGAGGCGTCCTGCCCATCCCCCGAGTTCCACCCGCCTCCCATCGTCCAGCCTTGAGGGTCCCAGCCGTTCAGCCCTGTCTCGTCTTCCAACTCTTCCGGTGTCTCGACCCGGCGCGCGTCCATTATCAGAGACCAGAAGGTCAGCTGCTGGTGGTTGTGATACGGCATCCCGGGGCCAATCAGGCCGTGGACTTCCTCGGCCACGACGCGGAGCTCTGTGGGAAATCTGATCGCGTCTCTGATGTCTTCGTGCGACTTTTTCCGCAGAGCCTCTTCCATGTGAGGTACGTAGGCAAACAGGAGCAGAGCGCCGTTTGCCGGGTCTGGGCTGATTGTACTGTCCATTCCGCTCAACTGGGCTATCTCATCCCAATGGGTAAGAACATCCTCCGGCAACCTGATGACCTCAACGAATTCGCCGAGTCCCAATCGTTCTTTGAGGTATTCCATGCGGGCATTATTGATTTCTTCGTCTGTCCAGTCCTGGTCCAGCGGCAACTGCCTCGAGACATACTCCACATACAGCCCCATGTTCTTCCGGATCTGGGACGCGACGTGCGCGCGATAGGCTCCTAGTGCCTCAAAAACCTTGGCTCGGTCGGCTTCCATGGTGAAGGCGGTGAACTTGGACGTGTCTGGCGCGAGCCGAGCCGCAGGGATCGAGTTGAGTCGATGTCGTGGAGGAGTTTGAGACAGATGCTAGGCTGCGGCATAGAAACGATCGTCAGGCGTATTCCTCGTACATGCAACAATGTTCTAGGCTGCATCGGATGGCGTCAACGTTAGCTACAGCCTAAATGAAATTCACATCGAAAATTCCGACGCATAATCATCAAGAAACTTTCTTGTGTCAACGTCCCTTTTGTTTGTAAGTTAGGTCTTTGACTATTGAAAAATTAGAGAGCTGCAGAAGCGCTCAGAGTTGCATCATCCCCTGGACTGGGGGTTGACTGTTAATGGTAACGGAGGTAAAGGATATTCTTTTTATCCTCTTTACATAGATCGACCTTTTTCTATAGCGGTTGGTAGATTTCATACCTTGAAAAGGGTGCATGACGAGAGCTGGGAGTGTCTGTTGACCCTGAGTTCTACCTGCAGTTGATAGAATAAGGAGATCCAACTTTCCAGTGTCTGCGCAGCCATATTTACTGTGCATACAGACACTTCGATTAGGGACGATGGTACCTAGCAGAGACAACGGCAGGATGACTACAGTACTAGAAGTAGTAATAACGATAGCAGGGACGATAATAATAATGACGACGAGGATAACAATAAGGATGACTACAAGGACGACGATAAGGACGACGATAAGGACGACGATAAGGACGACGATAAGGACGACGACAAGGACGACGACAAGGACGACGACAAAGACGACGACGACGACAACAACAACAACAATAACAAGGACATTAACAACGACAAGGACAATAACGAGGATAGCAAGGGTAACGAGGATAATAACGACAACAACAGTAGTAAAATAGAGTAATAAGCGTATAGAGACAGTTAGAGCTCTGGCATAAGAAACATGAGGCTTTCAGGGCATGCTTAGCCGTAGCATAGGCGACAGTTCCAGGTGAAGACAATTGGATTTGTCTGCAACAGAGCATAATTATACTACATTATGTATTCTGCTCTTCGATAAATAATCGTAGTCATAGAAAAATTATCGATAGAACGACAGAAAGAGCAGAGACGAAAAAGGCTGCAGTGACAGTAAGGGTAGCTGGCGTGACAGAGACAAGAAGGACAGAGAAATGTTATTTTCCCCGGATATCTTGGCACATCTCTAGATGCTGCCTTTCTCTAAGGCTCTCAAGCTCTTTACACATGAACCCAGCAGTTGCGCTCGTGCGTGTAACGATTTTCTCATAGCGAAAGAAGGTAAAAAACACGTATTCTCCCTGGGGAATCTTATAGAACCTCCTAAAAGCTAACTCCAACCATGATCTATAAAATTCGCCATGCACCACACAAGCATCCTTCCCTTCACCACCTCCACCCACAACCAAATGCGCTCCTTCGCCTCGTCATCGCTCACTTCGGCTGGCCCGGGTCAACATACCCAGACCCCCGGCGGCACACCTTACCAACCGCGCTGTTCTCGCACGGGAACGTGTCCGGGCACGTGTTGAATGTGTAGAAGTCCGTCTGGCAGCACTCGGCGATGCTGTAGCAGCTGTCCGTGGGGATGTTGCAGACGCCAGCCTGTGTCACGTTAGCAAGAAAAGCTTCCGGGGCGGGTGCATCACGAGAGAAAGAGAAGGGGAGGTGTTGGCTCATTGAACGTAAACGTACCTCGTTGAGACGAAAATCAAACTGCGAATCGCAGCAAAACTTGGTCAACCCAATGTCCCCGCCGGACCGGTCCGAGTTCATGCAGTAGCCCATCGAGCGCGCGGCCATCGCGCCGGCGGTGAGGGATGCGATCGTAAGGAAGGTTGAGGGATGCATCGTGGGTTATCTTATGTGGCAATAGAAAGAACGTGGTTGTGTGGACTCAGACCGAAAGCGACAGTACAACTTCAACCCAAGATGCAAGACCAGTCTCGAATGGCGCAAACAGACTTCATAAAGAAAAACCAAACCCAGCGGCCGTCAGGCCGAGTCACGCAAATTAAAAGATCAGCAAAGCCATATGACCACCGCAACTTACAATCGCAGGCCTGGCCGAACACCTCGCCTAGCCTTGGCAGCTTCACACAAATGAACTCCAGCCTCATAGGGAGTATGTAGAAGCCGCAATCAAACTAGGTTTGCAAGGCCAGCATATAACTTTTCCCGCGTATATTAATCTCAATGCAGTTGGTTAGGTTAGATATTCTTAGACCCCAAGTTCTTCCCCGTGCAACCAACCGTCTGGGTTTGCCCGAGTCAGGACTACAAGCTCAAGACAGCTGGCAATCCGACCGCACGTAGGCAGAAAAAGTATAATTGACCTGCGCCCCTTATTTGGCTTCGGGAGCGCCGTTGCGGACTACAGCGCGTGCTGTAACTATTATGACGAGAATGCCGACCAGTTTTCTGCAGAGCGAATAGGCATTCTCAGTAGAATGACAACGAGAGAGACTACGGCTAAGCTTTGCGTCTAATATACGTGCTGAAACTCTCTGCTGGGTTACCAAGTCAATTGAAGTGGCCTTTAGAGTTTGGTTGTAGATTCCAAGCGAGATCTCGAGCAACACTCGCCTATTCTTTACTCCACTGCGACATACCATTGAGCAGCGAGGCTGGAAGGCACAAGGCGATTAAAGGTAACGGAGTCACCCGTCCGCCGATAGACAACTCTCTTGCGGGTTATGTCACTCGAACAATTAGTCTTTGCAAATAAACGTGACAAATCTCATCGTTTTCTGTTGGCCATCATGCAAGTGCCGCCGTCAACAATACTCAACTCACGCAAAATTATTGACCATCGTCATGCTCTGAATCTGTGTAATTACTCTTTGACTCGTACCCGGTTATATACAAGCATACACAAACCGCGCGTTTAAGAAAACTGTCACCGACCCGCCAACCCAGGCCCGAGAAACGCGAGCAAAATAGCAAACGTGTAGAGTGAACACCAGTCGTTCCGCAGAGGCAAAATAAAAAATAAAAAAAGAACTGGGTAACCAAGTGTAAAAGGACCGTCTGACAGCTTCAAGGAAAATATGCTTTTTTGAACCGGTTTGACTCCGTTAAAAGTTTGTGTGTGGGTTGTTCCGCGCCGAGCCTTATGAATCTATTTCGTTCCGTCTCTTGAAAGTTGACCGCGTCCCCTTTACATGGTGGGGATGCCCTCGTATTCCGCGTAGCCAAGAGCGAGGTTCATGTTTTCTAGGCCAGGTGTTAGTAGAGCTCTCGAAAAGCAAATGGGGGAAGACTTACGCAGGCACTGGGTGGCGGCACCCTTGAGCAGGTTGTCAATGGTGGAGCAGACGACGACGCGCTTGCCGCTGCTGTGGACAGCGAAACCGCCGATTTCGACACCGTGCTTGTTCATGATGTTCCTGACCAAGGGGGGCTCGCCGACGACCTTGACGAGCTTCTCACCGGCGTAGCGGTCCTGGTAGATCTGGCGGATGTCGCGAGAGGTGAACGTCTTGTTAAGCGGGATGTGGATCGTGGCCTGGATACCGCGGAACCAAGAGGCGACGTGAGGGGAGAAGGCAACCTCGGCACCGAGCTTGGAGCTGATCTCACGCTCGTGAATGTGGTCCGTCAAGCTGTAAGGCATCAGGTTGTCCCTGAGCATGTTGATGTCGTTCTTGGGGGAGGGCTTGGTGCCGGCGCCAGAGTAGCCGGAGATACCAAAGACGGAAGGCGCACCGCCGAGATGCTCGACCAGGGGAGCAATGCCAAGCTGGGCAGCAGTGGCGTAGCAGCCAGGGTTGGAGATCTTATCAGCCTTGTAGATCTCGGAGCGCTTGGTGAGCTCGGGAAGACCGTAGGTCCAGGTGTTGTCGAAGCGGTAGTCAGCGGACAGGTCGACAATGACGCTGCGGTGGTCAGCACCGCCCTTGCGAGCCTCCTCAATGGCCTCGATGTAAGGCTTGCAGACACCGTTAGGGAGAGCCATGACCCAGCAGTCAATGGCACCCTTCTTCTCGAGCTCGGTGACCTGGTCGGGGCTCAGGTTCTCGTAGGTGATTTCCCTCTTGGTGTATCCCTCGAGCTTCTTTCCAGCAAGCTCACGAGAGGAGACGTGTCTGAGGTCCATGTTGGGGTGAGAGTTGATGAGGTCGATGAGAGCCTGGCCGGTGTAGCCACGAGCACCAATCAGTGCAACGCGGGAGGGAACGTCGTTAGAGGCGTTCTTCTTTCCCAGGGGAGGGTTAGGGTTGGTGGTGGTGGCGTAGGTGCGCTTGCCGTTGAGACGGGCGGCGGCCGGGGCCCACTGAGGACGGCGGGCCATGGTGGAGAATGCGCGAGCCTGAGCGGGCTGGCTGGACTGAGACAGGTTGCGGTTGGAAACCTGGGCGGCGCGGCGCAGACGGGCCTCGAGGTTGGAGTCGCCAAGCATGGCTCTTCCGTGGGCGTTGAATTCGTCGGTGAGGACACCCAGTTCCTGAAGGTTGTCGATGCCGTACCAGAACAGCTGGTTGCCCTTGCTGGAAAAGCTGCCGTCGGCCTTGTCGAAGAACCAGGTGAGGTTCTCGTCCTCCTCGCTGACGGTCCAGACGAGCTTGGGGTGGTCCTTCTTGATGGCGTGGAAGACGTTCTCGGTGACGTTGCTGAGCCAGCCCTCCTTGGTGACGGTCAGGGTGGCGAGGGTCGGGTGAGAGCGCTCGGCGTTGGGGGGCAGAACGATGGCGAGGCAGTTGAGGGGCTCGTCGTAGTAAGCCTTGAAGGGAGTGCCCTTGAGGAACTCGATGTAGCGGTCGACGGTGGCCTCGGCATCCATGCCCTCCCTGTCACGGATGAGGGTCTGCTTTAGCTTGGCAAGGTCGGGGAAAGCGGCGATGCTGTCGGCAGACTCGATCTTGTCGCCGCGACGAATCAGGGTACCGGCACCGGAATCGGTGAACAGCTCCTTCTGCAGGTCACTGGGGTGGATGATGGCAACGCTCGAGGTTCTCGGCAGAGTTTCCAAAAGCTCCTTGATCTCCTTGATCTTGAGGCGCGTACCGTAGCGGCACCAAGACTGGGACATGAGATGGTTGTACTCCTCGTCGAGGTTGATGTGGGAGATCTTGTCGCCAGTCTCGCCGTTGAACAGGCCGCCCTTCTCAGAGAGGTAGACGATCTTGAGGGGCTCCAGCGCGCGGGCAAGCTCGGCGGCAGCGACGTCGGCGTTGACATTGAGGATCTGGCCCTCGGTGGTCTCAGCCATGGAGGTGAGGATAGGAACGTAGCCCTGCGAGATGGCGAGCTCGACGGGGGCCTTGTCGACGCTGGTGATCTTGCCAACCAGGTTCCACTTTTCCTTGTCGAGGTAGTCGGCGGTCAGGACGGTGGTCAGAGGACGGGTGCGGACACCGAGGCTCTCGAGCTTCTCGACGAGCTTCATGTTCTCCTGGAGGAACAGCTTGCGGGCGACGGTGAGGGTCTTGGGGTCGGTGACGCGGATGCCCTCCTCGAACTCGGGCTCGACGCCGGCCTCCTGGAGAAGGCGGTTGAGCTGAGGGCCGGCACCATGGACGATGACGGGGTAGAGGCCGACCTCGTAGAGGAAGGCAATGTTCTCGCACAAGTCATCGAGGTAGTCGGTGAGGATGGCACCGCCAACCTTAATCACGGCGAACTTCTGGGAGGAGACGGAGGTGAAGTATGAGAGGTATTGCTGGCCCTCGCGGCGGCTGCCGATCTGGCTCAGGGTCCTGATGATGATGGCTCGAGTGCGGTCGCGGTTGGCCTGCTCGGACTGGGAGCTGGTGCTGGACAGGGCGCGGATGGCATTGAGGCGCTGGAAAGGGTTGGCGCGGGCACCGGCGACGGCTTGACGCTGGCGGACGACGCGAGGAACGGCTCGACGGGCGCCGGCCCGGAAAACGGCAGAGGTTGCGGAGAGCATCGTGGCTACTGGGACTGGACGGCAAACAGGTCAGCCCATTCTGTGGCGGCGGCAGTGGTAAAGGTAGTGGTATGGAGGAGGGGTTTCTGCGCCGAGCCGATGTCGCGCACAACACCGCATTGGCATGATGTGTGTTTTTTTCCCGCTTTCATTTTCCGGGAGTCAGAGGGCAGGACGCAAGCTACACACCTCTTTCGAATTGGAACACCTCAAAACGTCGGTGGATTGGTCAGGCAGAGTATGACTTCACACTGGACTGTACACCTCAGCAGACCCGGACAAGCGAGCTACCACTCTCTTGTCTGTCTCTGTCTGTTTCTTGCTCTTTGGCGGGCCAGCTGGTTTCGATAGCTGGTCAATTGGCGACGCCAACGAGGGAACAACAGGCTCAATTGGCAGCCCGGGGCAGAAAAGACGAGTTGCGGACGGGGGAGAGCAAGCAAAGAGGGACTATGTTCGAGGAGCGGGAGGGGAGAAGGGCAAGAGTCGGGAGCAGTAGCGAGGCTTTTTACTTTTTGAGGCCTGCGAGACTATGACTGGACTGGACGTCGTGGTGGGCGGGTGGATGGTGGGCTGCTGCTAGTGTTGCTGCTTGCTGTGGTGGGCAGGCCGGCGAGTGTGGGCACTTTGGTCTGCGTACAGTATGATGCAGTGGAGGTGTGGAGGAGGGGCAGGGGGGGCTCCGAGCGCGCGAGCACTGCACCTGCGCTCACAGCCCGTAAGAAAAAAAATTGACCGAAACCGCTCACAGGCGGCAGGTCCGCGCCCTTTCTGCACCTCACCTCTGCTGCTGCAGCTGTCTGTCGCCGGGTAAGGTACTTGCGCACTGTGACCAGGGCTGTGGCACACTGTGGCCCCCCTCCTCCTCCTAGTGTCCCCCCTCCCCTCAGTGTCCAGTGTCTCCTCCCCTCCAAGTGTGGCTCCTCGCCCGCACAGCGCAGCCTCTCATTGCTCTGCCCTGTGGCTCCGTCGGCCAATTGGGTCGACAGTCCGGTTATTGATCGGATCTGATAAGGAATCTGCCGGTACGTACCCATCACCAAGTCCTGCGGGAGGAACGTTGAAGACACCAAAAGAGGCAGCATCTGCGGCAGTTGCCCTGGTAAAGCAATTACTTGAAAATTTTCATCTTGCCCGGTGGGGAAGGAGGCACACAAGAAGAAGCACGCAAGCTCGAGCCGAGGCAGCCACGACGTCGCAACCTTCCAAGAATCGACAAGATCAGTACCTCGCAACACACCCCCAAGGTGACTGAGATGATGAGATGATGAGAGGCTCGTAGGCGATAAGGTTGAAAATAACTACGCGACCACATAAAAGACTTCCAACCTTGACATGGAGAAACGCAACAGTAGCATCAGTACCAGCAACAACCTCCCCGTCCCTCTGGACCGTCTGCTCCCAGGAACCGGTGGGAACCTGCAAACAGCGGAAATGCAACTTTAAACGCCTCCTCGGTTCCGTAGCCAAGCTCTTACAACGCCGACGGAACGGCGATCCCCTCCGAGCTTTGATGAGACGAACCTGACCCTGAACCCCCCGAACGCCGGCCGCCCGTTAAGCTTGCATTCGATACACCGCTCGACATCGTGGATCCCGTCCCCTCTTCCAAGGATACTGTTCTGCGTAGTGCCTCCCTTGTGTGATTCCGTTCGTCCACACTGCATATGCCCATCGGCTGTCCTGCCGATGACTTTGGGCCACGACGTTTCAGGACCCCGTCTCATTCGGCCAAGACACCCTTGAACACTGGAGAAAAAAGACAAGTTCCCTCTTGAGCACGTTGTTCGGCTGCACGTCTAGACACCCCCCTCCATCTCGGACTACCTCCATATACGACGTAATGGAAATTAAGGCGCATATGGGTATCCGTATCGATCGTGAATCATAGACTCGGGGACCGACTGCACCGCGCCCGTTGTAGATCACTTTGTAGATGCTGCCATGAGGTGCATAGGTTCTTCACATGATGCTCAAGATACACGAATATTCTATTGCAGATTAGGATACAGAAAGCTTCTTTCGCGTTCTTGGACATGTCACTATCTCGAGATGCTAAAATACAGACACTGGATATCTGCTATCTCACTTCGTGCCACGGAGCATCATCCTCCGAGTCCCGCCCCGAAGTGTGTTCAGTAAATGCTGATTAGCTGCAGGGCATCACCGAAGATAATCTACAGGTTCTTCACGAAGAGCCGAAACGAACACATATTCAGGGCCATTTAAGAATTCAATTACGCAAACGCCTGCCATCCCTCATACATACATGCGGTCGATCCGCAGCCGAACTGACCGGGCCGACTGCACCGGAGCGGGTTCCGTAGCCGGCCGACGGCCTCTTGCATGCAGACCATCGAAGAAGATCGGAGTCCGTCTCGAACAACCTCCGCCCCTTCCCAAGTCATTATCCCATAGAGTTGGCCCTGTGTGCCGACTCTTCCCCTAGTCTCCCACGGTTGCTCGAAGCCTGCGAGATATCTGACGTTTCATTCCATATCATGAGGACGGACCATAACCATGGACCCAGGGGGTCGTGTGATGCAAAAATGGTGGTATCTAGTTACTTGCGGGTAGCAACAACTGGGCGGGTAAGTTAGCGGGTTGCAACGACTACATTGCAAAACCAAGATTAGAGCCGAACGAGACTTAAGAAATGCGAACCATCCAAAGGAAAGGCGCACTGGGAGGGAGAAAAACGCACCCGCTGGAATGACAATGATGAGGATAAGGATGATGATGCCGGCAATCAAGCACATGCGCATCTTGACGTCCTTCCACCACATCTGCTTGCGGACGCGGTTGGCGCCCCGACGGAAGCCCTGGGCCGAGACAGCCAGGTTGTCGGTCTTATCTTGCAGAGCATCAAGACGCTCGCCTCTTTGGGAGACCTTGTTGATGTTCTCCCGCATCACGCCGACGGTGTCGTCGATTTGCTATAAATAGAAACGTCAGCACATGACTCTGGTGACACGGTTACGAGCGCGCAGTTAGCGAAACGGATCCGGCCCCTGATTGCGACGCCGACGACGGAAAAACGCGAGAATCGGGTTTTCGAGCGGCGGATGACGGAGATGATTGTCGTTGGGTGCCACGAAGACCGCTGATGGAATCCGGTCAATGCAGTCTTCGTTGTTGCCGTCGCGGTCGCTGATGTCGTCACCAGGCTGAAAGACTGGACACCCGCATAGCCAGACAGGGGCTGATTTTTTCCCGTCGCGATAGCAAGCCCAACAGCGACCGTACATCGTCCCTCTGTCAATCGCCGCCATTTTTGCCGTGGTCATCGCGACCAGCGGGTTGTGCTGGTGAATTGTTGTGATGACCCAATCAGGCGTCATGGGCGACATGTTCAATCGGGCGGGTAGCTCGGTCGGGTCGTCGTCATCAGGCGTCGGACAATCCGGAGCAACCAACGATCCAGTCCATCGAGAGAAACGCGAGCTCGGTCAAGAAAAGCATCGCAACTTACAGCCTGCAAAGCCTGCGTCCTCGCATTGCCGCCAGCTCCTTGCTGTTGCGCGCCGCCGGCGGCCTGGCCGCTGGGGATGTAGGGGTCGTAGGGGGCGTCTTCGGGCATTGTCGCTGTGGTGACGGAGGTGCGAGAGGTGTGCGGAAGAGGGTCGACGCGGCAAGCGGGTCGATTAAAATATGTTTCGGAGTTGCGAGATGCAAGATTTAGAATTCGGTGATGGCCGGGAGTTTGTTGCTCGAGGCAGATGAGGATCGGTAGCAGTAGTTTGGTAGGCGGTCGAAGGTGTAGTGTGGTTGGAAAAAAAGAGGAGAAAGGATGGGTGGTTGGCGGGCGTGGGAGGTTGATGAGGTGGTTAAGTTCAGGTGATGAGACGTCTTGGAAAAGAGGCGAGAGCCCGGCCGAAACAAGGTGTCCGTCTGAGGATTTGGGGGAGGGATGCGCAGTGGCACAGCGCTTGAGGACGAGGTGCCTGCTGAGTGTGCTGGGGGGGCCGGAAGGAGGGAAGCTGCTGGCAAGCCAACTGGGCCACTAATTTTAGTTGAGCTGGGAACGCCCAGCCACTGCGACAAACCTCCCTCCTCCAGCCGGGCTGGCGATGGATGAGTGAGTGATTGTCTCTAAGGTTAGGTTGCTCGCTCTTGATTCCGACAGGACATGTCATCCCGAGTTTACTTTGCTGTTCATTGCCATGTTTCCCCCTTGCCTGCGGTTTCCTGCCGCTCTCTGGGTTTATCGCCTCGTTGTTTTTGTCCCCTTTGTCGCCGCCTTTGGGATGCGCCGTGATGGGGAATACTCCCTTCCCTTGCCCACGAATACCCGGTCTCTTATTCAGACCCAGAGCACCGGAGCGAAACAGAAACCACAGCGCGGCAGCTTCAGCACGGCCACTGTTGGAGACCTGAGTGGGAGTGGACGGGACTGGGGGACGGCGCTCGCTGGAGCAGCACCTGAGGGCCAATCATGGCCGGCGTTTCGAGCAAATCACACACGGGCAGTGCGGTACGTATAGCTCTGCAGCGACCTCCAACCCCCGTCCGGTGCCTGGGGAACCCGGAAAGATTGGACAACACGAAGTCGTGAACACTGAACGCAGTGGCTCGTCGCCTTTAACTCAAAAGTGTGCCCGACTTTCCATAAACATGACAAAGGCGCTGCGATGGATATTCCCTGGACCAAACAATCTGGAAGCGTGTCTCCGGGACAGCACAGCCATCTCCTCGTCATCTCTGCAACACAATCCGATGGCCGGCACGGCGACGCCTTGAGGTCGCAGTCTGTCAATGAGTGTCTGGTCGCTGGTCACGCATCCCTCATGCCAGGGACCACCATTTCCATGGTTACCTTGCCTTCCCTGCTTTGCTTACCTCCGTATGGATACGAACAAGACAGCACTGGATGATCGGACCCTGGCCTGCCTGCCAGCCAGCCTGGTGCCTCTTTTCCCTCGCCTTCGCCGGTGACCGTCTCCATCCGCCTCAATCGTATGCCTCGCGCGTATTGAGTTGGGCTGAGGAGGGCTGGGCAGCTAAGAAAGCTGTGCAGGAAGGAGGCGTTTTCACCAACCAATGCCGTAGATTCGCGGCTTCTGATGTAATCGTCGAGGCGGTGCTGCGCGTTCGTCACTGCTGCTGGACTGGACCTGGACCCCGACGGAGCTGAATTGGCCCGGCGAGTTGGCCCCCGTCAAGGTCCTTCATGCCCGGCGGCTGGGACCAGACGACGGCTCACTTCGATGCACGTGAAAGCCTTCCACGTGAAAGCCTTCCACGTGATACGAAACCCCAGGCTCTACCCGAAGCTTACCCGGCGTATCGTGGCTGACAGCGTCAGGCCCGCTTTTATGTGGCGCAGTCGTGTGGCTTTGCTATTGCCCAGAATCCTCTCGGCTACTGTCATTCCAACAGCCATTGGCTTCCATCAGCGTTTGAATGCGTGGGCTTCTGTTTGGTGGCCACGAATGCAACATATCTTCATCTGCCCCTGATCGACGGGAGTCTGTCTTGCGAGATTCAGGCCACTCGGTTGATCTGCTCTGAACGTTCAGACCCTGGCCGCGCAATCACACTTTGCGGTGCTCAACCGCCGCTCAAGGAAAAGCCCCGGTCAAGTCGGCCAACGTCGTTGAACCCGACGTTGACTCTGTCGGACACGGAGCGTTTGCCGTTGAGAACTGGAAAAGACCATTTGCCTCCGTCGCACGTTGTCAGCATTCGTCAAGGCACCTCGAAGCAGGAGCAGCAATGCGAACAGCCATGTCGACGTACGTTGCAGCGGAGGCGCACCCTGCGATTCGCAACCACACAATCTTCTCAGCCTGATCACAGCGAGGTTGTTGCTGAAAGGCTCGATTCCAGAGATACACGGCTGAAGCACTCTGCAAGCGTCAGGCTGTTTTGCAACGCCCTCCATTCGCCCTGAACTGTTACAACACGGTTTCATCGGCTTTCAAGTCGAATGTCGTTGGACGATGAAAATCTCGTTTTTAACCGTTTGCAGAAGCCAACGAGGCCGATCAGGTCAATCATGATTGTCCCGTCAAGTCACTTTTCGAGGAATGGAACCCTCCGAGAACAATTTGCGCCTCCCACACACAGCAATGTCGCAAGATGAGGTTCAATGCCAGAGCCCCTGGCGATGACAAAGCCGCCCCGTATCCAGATGCCCCGCTGGCATTCCGTTTCTCTGTTGCCTGGGCCGACGGCCGTGCTGCATTCCTTAAAAGATGCTTATTCGAGATTAGCATTGCACTCGCCATGCAAAAGCCTTACTAACGGCCACCCTCACGAACGGTGGACTCGTGGTTTCGTTGTTTTTGGCCCCTCTGTTACGAGTGGTCGGGGGTTGACACTACAGGAATGGGGGCGGACAACTGGTACTTGACTTGACCGTTCACGAGTATGAGCTTACCCGCTCGCACCAGCGCTAAAGCGTTACGAGCTGAGAGCGGCTAGAGATAAACGGACCTGTCGATGTCGATGCGCCGCTAATCGGCCGAGTAGCGTGTTTGGTTGTTTTCTCAGGACATCATCGTCTTGATCGCATATGCTGCCGACAACGACGAAGGTGGAAGTCTAAGGTCCCCGTCCGCAGCGGAAAATCTTGGCCAACGCTCAACTTTCCCCGCTCGTTTTACCGCTCGACGTTCTCGTCCCTTGGCGATGATGAGCATGCTGGCTGCAATACGACGGCACGGCAAAGGCCTGGACGTTTCGTTGGTTGTCGGGCTTGGCCGCCCTGCCCACTGTCGAGTCCGGGATCATCGGCACTGGGGCCTTGTCGCTGGCTACCAGGCCCCCAGAGCCTGCTGATCACCGACGTCAACCAGTCCAGTTTTTATTCAAGCTGGATTCCAAGCGGCTTTCCAACAAACACTACGACCGCACCGCACTGCACTGGTGACAGGACGGGGTCGCAGCGCAGAGCTGAGAAGACGGTTGGGCAGACGCTTCGAGCCACAAGTCGACTCAGCTCGAGCATCTCCCTCTCTGCCCGCCACGGCCAAAGTCAGACAATAGAAGCCATGGCTTCGACAGACTACAGACGAACCCCAGGTTTGTCTGACATGAGAAAATTGGCGGGAAGGGCAGAGCTGGACGCATCAATAATCAATCAGTGTTTCTTACAGGGCACAAGACAGCCAGCGGGACCCGAAAACGTCACCGCATCACCTTACGTTGTGCAGGCTGGGGGATGCCAGCGACAAGTCAGCAGGGGACAGCACCAAGCTCATGGGATGACAAGGGTTCGGACTGCAGCCGGCTGGGGACATGATGAGATGGTGCACCACCACATGCACGCCGAACAAGCTTAGCTGCCAATGCCAACGCTAGAAGCAGAAACAAGCAAGGAAGGCGGCCAAAGCCCAGGGCGGACCAGACGGCAGGCGGGAGTGATGCAAAAAAGATGGGATCATAACACAACACGCATAACACTACGCAGCCCAGCGGCGGCGAGAAGAGTGAGACAGCTACCTTTACGGCTGGAAGGGGGCCAGTCTTGCTATTCAACTGGTTGCGCGCTTTCTCCTGACTGATTTCCCCAGTCTTACCAGTCCCGAAATGCTCTCGTTTCCCATGCCTGTGTTTCTGTTTAGCTCTGTCTCTGGCCTATTTGTTTTCCCCCGTTTCAGTCTGCGAGAAACGGAGGCAAATCTCGTCTTTGGTCTTTGTATTCGTACTTACATACTTATGTACCTACAATTAACCCTTTACTCGTATTGATGCTGTTCCGAAGAGGAAGCTATTAGTGGACCTCCGCCGCTCACCTTCTCTTGCATGGTCTCTTGACTGGTCTCGTTCCGTTCCCTCGATCGCTCCTGACCAAGCAGCTCGTATTTACCCTCGGGGGGCAGCCACTCGTTTTCCTCTTTGCAGTTGCACACCACACCTTCTTTCTTTCTCGGGTGGAAAAGTAACCCGGTGGAGGCCAGCGCAAGTC